CATAAGGAGTTTCAAAAAATCCATTGATAGATTGATGCTGACAAACCTTTCATATAGTTTAAAAAGGCGAGTATATGATAATTGTAAATTGATCCCACCTGATACCAAAGAAGGATCGCCTTAAGTTTGTGACTGGTGATTGTGAGAAGCTATTGGTTCACTGTTAGGCGACTCCGATAAATCAGTGCTGAGCTTTCATCCACTACGTGATGGACATAATCAGACAAAGGAACAAAATAATAAAAAACACAAAACGTCTCTTGATTTAGATCAAAAAGGACTCATTGGGGTCACATGATGGCTTATTGAAACAGTCCCAAGTCCAGAGCAATATTTATTCGTTATCTGAGGCTCATTTACGAATTCCTCCCACACGCCTTTTCAAACGAAATGAAGGATGTCAGCATTAAGCACTTAGTAGGGATGCCGAACCAAATCATACGAGAGTTTAATTAGTGAGTTGGCTTTAATTAAATTCTAGTCAAACAAAAGTTTGAAATGCAAAATAGTATAAAAGATACATTAAAAAGAGGAAACTGGGATCATTTGTCAATGCTGAGTAATGGCGTAATACAATCGAGCATATTATAGATCCATTTACCAGCTGGACAGTAACGCTGTTCAGGGCCATCGTAGATAGGAAGATTTATACGCTCAGGTGTTGTATCATCAAGAAGTGTGAGGTGAGAGGGTTGGTCGTGGTCGTGGTTGGTGCCACTCAGAGCAACAGAGCTCAGCAAATCAAAGCTGATCTTACCATCAGGCTTAGGATAATCGATAGTTTGACAGGAAGAAGCTTTTTTCAGACAGAGGTGGTCAGGAGCTGAGAACGAATTGAAAAAGGATAAATAGATAGAAAAAAAGAAAACAGAATTGAATATAATCGCTGCATAATATTAAAAATTCAAAGTGAATCATTAGAGGATAATTTAAGATATGAAGACCAAGATGTTGTGGCCTCTGATATGGTCGCAGTCTCCTTTCGATTTATAGAAGTGAGTTGACCTCGTTTTCACAACTTGGTCTTGTTATAAGAGTGATAAAGTAGAACGCACTTAGTCCTAAGTCGTTTGCCATAGTAGTTATCATGATTAAAAACATCAGACAGTGGACTTGGCACATTCTCAAACGTTTCGCCGGCATCGTAGACAGCATCATCAGTGAGTTTTGCCATTCTCCACACCAAGCTAATAACTCGTCAGAGACAAATAAAGTTAACCCCTCGATATACGTTATGCCGAAAACGGTTAGACTATCACTATTCATTCTGCCCTGGCCTAAATATCTACTCTTTACACTCTTATTCCACTGCCGCCCTATGACAACTTCCCACTTGTTTACATTCCACTTGCCAAAATGTGTGCCAATGTGTCCCTCCGACCTCCTGTCCTTTGATCAGCTAATCCGACTCGGGCCGCCTATTCTTATCTCCCTCATTATCTCGTAGATTCGTTCCTTATCTTTCTGGTTGACCGATTTAATTCGACTCCAGTCCCAGTGTGCATTTCACTCCAGGCGCTATTTCTTAAGGTCTAGAAGCAAGTACACTGCCGCCTCACCGAGCAGAGCAGCTAGGCTCTGAATCCCATGCTTGCAGATATCAGGCCTTCCCTTAACGGGTCCTCTCCTTGATTAAACCTAGGTTATCTGAGCAAACTGTGGACGGCTATCTCTGATCGCATGCGGCATCTCAAATGGATTTCTAGTGCATTTTGGCCATAACGCCGAATTTCCATAAAGGTTTCCTTATCCGTCTGCCTAGCTCCCTGACTGCTAGGCCTCCAAAGTTGTACTGATTTATTCGAAATGGACATTACTCACTGAAAACGTCATCGCTTTATTGCCGAAAACCCCTACCCCCCTTTCTTAAAAAAACCTTTGCTTTATGTCCTACGCCTCTCAATTGGCATTAATTAGCATGCCTTACGTAAGCGATCGAATTGAATGAACAGTTCAGATTACTTAGAAGTTTCTTTAAAAAAATATGCTTCCTTTTTTTCAGAAGCCTAATTTAGGCATTTAAATGTTCTCTACATGCTACAGCAAGTCTGAATGAGATACCTAATAAAGATTTGTCTGTGTCTTAGTAAGATAAAGACTTTATATTTTGCCTTCAATTCCCACAGGCTAGTATTCAGGACGACTAAATCAGGTTATTAAGCATCTCCAATTTGGTATAGCATAATAATACTT